CGAAGGGCCCGTCCGGGTGCCACTGCGGATTCCCTGGCGGCGTTGCCGTAATTTCCTTGTTTCAGATATAAAACAGAAAGATTATAACGAAGGGGCGACGTGTCTTACAGTCAAACCGTTTCTTAAATCTCGATAACAAAATACATTTTTTGGCGGTGTAAAAAAAATGGACAAACTTCGAATGAAGCTTAAAAATCGTGAATTTTGGTGAAAGTCCCCATGTTGCTGCAAACCCCTGGCCTCACCACGGGCGAGAGTGAGAGCTTGTGAGAATTGCACCGCGAGCCAGCCCTTCCTGCTCACTAGTCACCATTATGACTAATGTAATGTGATGGACGAGAGAATAAGCTCAGGTTGTGCAGCAGACATTTCACAGCAGAAGTGTTCCAGCATGATCTGCATGCAGAGTTAACAAAGAAGTAGTATTTGTAAGCAAAAACTATCTAGAAGTCTTTGACATGATTTCTATTGGATTAAAAGAGATGGATTCACAAGCCTGCTTGTTTACAGTGTAATAGAGCCGCTTCGCCTCACTGGAAGTCTTGTTGCTTGGTTCTCAATCGCAGAACATGGTGTTGTGCAGATTTAATCTATTTTGTGATGTAAATTGGAGGTTATTGTGTACCTTTTACTGTTATTGTATTGTAACAGTATTTGATATACTGTATATATACTGTATACTGTTATATTGGCATGCAGCAAACCTTTAAAACTGGAAAAGTGTTCCAAGTGTTCCAAGTTTGAGCTCAAAATGGCCAATTTTGATTAGAAGAGAAATGTCAGGCTTTTAATCACAACGTATTAATCATCACAACACAAATGATTGTAGTCTTGCATGTACATTCAAATTCTTTAAAATCTCATCCTGTCTTAAAGAGTCCAGGTGACAGCAAGCCTAACTGATCACTGAGAACCAATAGGCTGTACGTGTAGATACGTTTTTTTGTTCTATTAGTATAATTGACTTTAATGAGATATATTGAATTCAACTGCGTCAGTTCAGACAGTCGGCATGTCTTAAGGTAATAATGACTGCTTGCTGAAGTCACTCCGTCACAAACAAATGTTTTGCTTTGAAGGCCATGTTGCATAAAAATACATAAATATGTCCTCAATATAGATGCAGAACAGATTTTTAAAAATATTACTTCAGTTTTCAGCCTATTTTATTGAGCCACTCACTGCATTGTTTCACTCTTGCGCTCGGCCCTACCTCCCAAACCCCACTTTGATTTCAGACGGTTTAGACCCTTCTGGAGGTGGGAACTGAATTGTGCGACTCGGCCCAAACTGATCTCATGTCAGATCCCCGGCATCTGGAGAACCAGAGCCCTAGTTTCAGCTGGAGCTGTAAAAAGATGAAAAATGTGACGTCTGTCGTCGCCCCAACACCTGCCGAGTTCGAAGGCCCCTGTGCTCCTCCACCTGCTATTGGTGTGCTCACCTGAGGGAGAAACGGTTTTGATCTGCTTCACCCTCATCCCTGTCCTGTCGGAGTCACGCGGTTCTTGTCTGTACATCCCAAGGGCTGTGGATGGCCTAAGAAATCGGGGGGGAAAAAGGTAATTTTTTTGCTGATAGATCAGTGATCTTAGGATCATGCCTGTTTCTTGGAGAATCCCAGGGATGTGCCTTCGATTCGTGGGTTGACAGCCTGTTCCCGACCCCCGCTACCCTTTGTGTAAAGAGCAGCCTCCCATTCTGTTGGAAAAGCACTTCCTTGCCGCTTTCTCCTGTGTCTTCAGGCCCTTCTTTCAGGCTTCTAGGGTTGCGCATGCTTGTCGTCTTCTGTGCGAGACTGGACGCGTGTTTGTGTGTGATCGCTCCCCCCCGGTGTGTTTCAGGCCCGAGAGGAGTACGACGATGCCATGAGCTCCGGGCAGCAGGCCTTCCTCCTGGAGGAGAGCGACGAGAGCCCCGATGTCTTCCGGCTCAGCGTGGGCAGCCTGCCCCCGGGCCAGAGCGCCTCCGTCAGCCTGTCCTATGTCACGGAGCTGCCCCTGCAGGAGGACGGGGCTCTGCGCTTCTGTCTGCCCGGGGTGCTCAACCCCCGCTACACCCCCGCAGGTGAAACTCCCCCCGGACAGCGGGAGGGCAGAGGTCATGTGTCCGCAGTGGACATACAGTATTTTTTACACTTCTTCTGTTTCTATACAGTCGACTCCCAATTTACACAGGGATTAGGGATTTGGAGAGAAGCCAAATTTGCATCTCGTTTTACCCTATAACCCTTATAAAACCCCCTACTTACCTTAATACAAGTATAAATAGAGTAAATAAAAGTACTGTAAATAAGACTGTATTGGCACAACAACTAGCTCTCGTAGGTGTGCTTGATGAGTTTTTCAGAAAATAAAATGTTTTTCGATCAAATAAGTTGCAAGCCTACTGTATTTATACTGTATTATATGTATTTATAGTTGGGGGGCTCTGGGTTCAATTCCTGGGGGTCTGTCTGTGGGGAGTTTGCATGTTCTCCCCATGTTCATGTGGGTTTCCGCCTGGTGCCCTGGTTTCCTGCCACAGTGCAAAGACATGCTGGGAGGTTAATTAGAAAAATTGTCCCTGTTGTGAGTGTGTCCTGCGCTGGACTGGCGTCCCCTCCAGGGTGTACCCTGGCTTGCGCCCCTAGATGCCGGGATCGACTCCGGGTCCCCCTGGTGTGAATCTGAAGAAGCAGTGTTTGGGATCCAGCGGGATGAGTCCCTGTGAAGGCCCGGCGGTGTGTGACTAACCCTCTCTCTCCCCCAGGCGGCGAGAGCGTGACGGCCGAGGCGCCAGGCGTCCTGGGGGGCGCTGTGCCCTACACCCTGGCGCTCGGCGCCCACATCTCCTCCCCCAGCAGCATCGACAGGGTGCAGTCCAACTGCCCCCTCAGCCCGCTGGAGTATCTCGCCGAGGATAAATCGCAGGCCAAGGTACGTGTTGCTCAGCACAGAGACGCAGTCCAGCCAGCGGTCTGGCTAGTGCTGTGTCCAGCTGCAGGGGTCTGATTCAAGCTCAACCCGCCAGCTGTATTGGCGTGGC